CCATTTTCTTTGCCATGTGATTCTCCATGCTGGGCGTAATATCCTTGTGTTTCCAGGGGCCCCAAACCTAAAGCCCTGAACCCCAAAGCGCTAAAGCCCTTCAAGCCAGACTTGCTTGAGCAATTGAGGCTTGGCTTAATCAGCAAAAGCGGGACCAGGCAGGCCCTGGGTGAAAAGGATTTTGGGTTTAGGGCTCAGGATTCTAATACCCCATGCTAGAATATACGATAATATACTATAATGAAATTAGAACATTTACCATCATGACATATTATTCGCGGGTAGGGGGAGCCTAAGGTTTGGGGGCTTCTCGCTTAGAGTTACAGGTTCAGGATTTAGGAGCTTCGGGTTGCTTGAACCTGCGGATCTTTTCTGGGGAATCCTCTTATGATTGCAGACTAGGATACTGTGACGATTTTGCCTTGCCGTCTTAAGACGGCGCCTCTAGCATTAGCGATTTCGGTGCTTAGAGAACAGGATTTATTGAGCGTAGGGTTCATGTGGACGGCCACTCTCACCGCCGGGGGAAGGGGGGGGGTGGTTAATTGCGGATTATTTGCAGCACTACGTAAGAAGTTACGCATGCGTAAAATCGGGATGTTCCAGCGATCATATTATAGGGTTGACGTTTAGCTTACATTCGGCGAATCAGGAAGTCGCCCAAGTCACAAACTCTGAAGGGTTTACTCAGCGCAGCGCTCTTGCAGCTAGAAGATTTCCCAGCCCTTCAGGGGTAGGTTTGGTTTCAAAGGCCCACAGAACCTGAATCCAGGAGCCCAGTCGTGAGCCTCAGGCCTTCCATGTACATTATGGGTTTTCTAGCTCGGATCCAGAAAGGTTTCAGTGGCATGAAGGGGTTGCTTTGTCAAAGGTTCTCAGATCCCTCAACCACAAAACATGGGTATGTGGTTATTTATACGTATGTGGGGTACCCTGAAGCCGCATGCCTAAACCACAACCCCTCATGTACCCAGCCTGGACGAGGAGTATGAGGAGCTTCTCCGAGGTGGCTTCTCAAAGGAGCAAGGGGTTGAAGATAAGAACAAAACATTCAAAGATACGCTCGGGCGGGTATGAGGGTAACCCGGCTTTATGGGGTCTATATGGATTTCTTTCAGGGGTACCCACCTGATTACTACCCACCTGGGGTTTCCCTGAAACATTGGATCCCAAAGAAGCAGTCGCCTAATCTTACCCCTCATAGGTCGTATGATGCCAGATACGCTGCCCCGCTTCCTGTGGTTGTCTGCCAGGGTTTCAGTTTCAATGAGTTTTAGCTAGCCCAAAACTGTTTTGTCAAATTCCTGCAGATAACACCACTAGAACATCCCTGCAAGGACCGAATGTTTCGATTCTTCAGCGTACGGCCCCACCTCATCTTCCGTCGATTCTTTGAGATAGGCCTCCTTGGCTGCAACCAAGTGGAAGGCGTAATGGTGAAAAGAGGTGACAATGCCACCGCAATACAGCTACACGAGGAGGGGCAGCAGGAAGAGAAGGAGTGGTAACTCAAATAACGACACTGCCAATTGCAGTTGTAGTATACTATCGCATTTTTATAGTATATTGTGGTTTAATATTTGTATAGTATACTATGGTATATTATAATGCTGACTAACAGCCATGAATGTCTTCAACGTGACTGCTTACAACAAGCTCGAATCCTGCAACGCAATCTTAGATTGGCGCCCGCGTTCTCAGTGTTACTAGGATTTATCGCTTTGGAAAGATCTCCATTCAACAGCAGCAATTTCCCCGAAGCTAACATGGACCCCAAAGGGCCCCATAAAGACTGCTATCGTTGAAGACGGAGCCTTCGTGGGCTTTCATGTTAAGTAGATCTCCCAATTCAACCACAGAAATGGAAGTTTCTCAGCATTATCCCCATACAATCTTTAAGGAGGACCCCTGACCTCTCGATGTTGCTTGCAACCCCGGCTCAAAGGCTTTGGGTGACGATATGGGGCACCACATAAGGGGGCCTAAATAATTACCAAGAGCGGAGCTTGAAAATTAGGAAACTGGGCTAATAGACGGGCAGGTTAGTACTCACTCTTGCAACCCCTATAATTCAGCAGGCACAACAACCCCAGCCATGACCTGTTATAAAACCCATTTAAAAGATTCCTTGACTTTCCCAGAAAGTACTACCCCCTTTTACAAGAAATTACAAACATCCACATGAGAGCCGAGCTTCTAATCGGAGAAGGGCCTCCAAAATCCCGCAAACTCCCAACATCTCGCCAGGGTTCCCGGCCTAAATGAGACCCTCAACCCTAAGCTCTGAATCTGATAAATCCCCAGTACTCCCCCCTCCAAACGTTTTGAGGAACCCCAGCGTTGAAGCTGTACTTTGCTAGGAGTGGCCCCTAGAAGGGACTGTATACCTAATGGTCCTCACATTGCAAGGGTCCCATCATAAGGGTCTCTCCTAAGTCCTCTAGAGATTAATCCTTATTTGCAGCCCATGTATAAGCCTAATTTCCATTTCATGTTTCATTGTCTTTACATTTGATTCTTCATTCTTGGGGGACCCCAAGCCCGAAAGCCTAAACCCTACATAATCCCCATGCACTTGGCTTATATACCCCAGAACCCTCAACCCTACAGAATCCCCACATCATGGACTTACATACCTCCACAACCCTAAAACCTGTAGAATCCCCATGTCGTGGGCTTATATACCCCTAACCCTTAACCCTGGCCCTGGACCCTAAACCCTCAGCCCTAAGCCCTAAATGCTGCCATACTACCCCCTTAAAAACGGAGAAGCATCCCAGGGCAGGTCCTGTGGCCCACGTGGCAGATCTGGACGAACCCTCAGGCCGTGGATTTCGTCCGAAAAGCAAGGGTTTGTAGATTTAGGGCTCTACAAGGTTGATAGGGTGTTGGGTTCAGGATGAGGGTAAGTCAGGATAGGTAAGTTTAGGGTTTATGGTTTTGGGGTTCATAGGGTTTCGGGTTTGCGATTGAGGTAGGGATATGCAAAACGTTCTATACAGGGCAATGTTGAGAAAGTTCCATGTGATTCTGAACGGATCCCTGTTGAACCCCCTACATACACCTGAGGGTACCAGTTCTGTGAGAAACTTGCCGATGCCCTGAAGAACATCACTGTGTCCTGGAATCCTATGTGCGACGTATTCCTTCTGGAGCCCCATAACTCATTTCTCAGAATAGTCCCAAACAGCGACCCTTATCAAGCCTCCTTATAGCTTTTAACGACCTCGGGTTCCTGACAATTCCCCCCCCCCGCTCAAGAAAATCACGCACCAGGACCAAAATCGAGGGGAGCACTTGAAGACCAGCCTTCAAAGGTTGGGGCCGGTCTTTGTAAAAGTGGGTCAGACTCTCGCACAACGGCCGGACTCTGTGTTGCAGGGTTTAACGGCTTAAAGCCTATCCGGGGTGGTTGGGGGTTTGAGGGTGAGGGCCTGGGGGATGGGTTTCGTGGTTTAAAGGTGTGGGGCTTCAGGTGGTTCAGGCTTTCAATTTTCAACCTTTCAGAGCTTAGGAGTTTGCAAAGTTTTGGGGTTGGATGGGTTTAAACATTTTTGTATTGGGATATCGCTTAAATCAGAGAATGTAGAAAAAACTCGTTCTGAAGGGCGGGGAATGCTGTAGGGATGACAGGAAATAGGATCTCTGAATACTAGTGGCCCCTTTTTGTTGCTCTGTGCTGGAAACTCCTTGGCAGCAGCCCAGGATATTGTGGGAGAGGAAGCCGCAGATGTCCTGAAGACCTTGCAGTCCAAAAGTGCACCTTTCGCCGATGAGATCGCCCATCGAATCGTGCTGGAAGATCTGAATCACACCGGGCCCCTGGCGCCAGGGGTCTGTCCAGAGGGCCTAGGCTTAGATGGGGAGGACTGCGCTCCGCTGTTTAAAGCCTTTTCAAGCAAACCTGTTGCAGCTGCAAGCCTGGGACAAGTCTACAAAGCAACCACCCGGGAAGGGCAGGACATTGCTGTCAAGGTCATGCGCCCTGGGGTTGCTCGGCTGGTTGCATGTGACTGGGTTTGCTGGTTCCTGGGCTTGAAGTTACAGCGGCTCATCACTGGATCCTTTAATGATTTCGCCAAGCTGGCGGATGGTGTGGCCAGCGGAGTATTCCTTGAGCTCGACTATCACAATGAGGGGCGCAACATGGAAGACTTCGTACGTGAGCACATGTGGTTGGGATTCGTGACCGCGCCCGCCTGGGTACACAAATACACAGGTGCGCATTTCCAACAGTAGGGCTCCTGCTTAAATTGCAGCTGTCTCACATTTAGAGGTTTTTCTTGAAAGATCCAGAATTTCGAGAAGCCCTTCGTCATTCCTTTGATATATTACTACTATCAAAAAGAGTAGTGTTCCCTATCCCGCATAGAAATCCCCATAAGTGAGGTAGATCCTCAAAGGACCCACCGACCCCCTAAGTAACCTCTAGGTCCCCTTCTCAGTACCTTCTAAGCGTCCTCCTTAGGGGTCTGTCCTATCTGGGGCTCTCTAGGAATCTATCCTAAAAAGCCTTCTCTAACCCTACAGAATAAGAATTACGATATGAACAAAAATGTAGTAGCAACCATGATAGTAGTGATACTAAATAAAGGACTCAGAAGTTTGAGAAACCCCAGGTCCGGCGGGGAATGCCCGCATACTGAGCACTGAGTGGGCGGATGGCCTTGACTTCCAGGCTGTTTCTGTGACTAAAAATACAAAAAGTCTATAGTTACATGACTTGCAATAGTCGAAGTTAGTTCCACAACCAAAAAAGGGCAATAGTGAACATGTTATTAGTAAAACTTTAGGGAGTGATGTGTCAGATTTCCTTGTTGGGGTTGAAGGAGGCATCCTGGAACAGGACTTTGTAAGCTGCCTACTTCCTTTCAAGGACTTCTCAACCATAAACTGGGTTGCTGTTCAGAAACTTCGAAGAAGTTACCCTAATGGGTATATATAGTAATTAATAGGGTTTCCCCAGTATAGTAACTGAACTTGAGTTCCTTAACAGCAACCCAGTAAAACCCCAGCCTTTCCAAAGCAGTCCTATGTTCACGGTTTAGCCATGGGTCTACACTCGAAGCCTGTTTCCAGGATCTCTCATCTCCCAACTCACCAACTTTCCCCAAACTTGGGCACCCGGAAGAAACATCAAATGAGCTACATGGTGTAAGTCCCTATATCACCTGAGGTTCCATGTTAAGTAACATGTGGTTTGTCATATTCAAAGGTAAAATCCCCACATACCCCTGTACAATCCCTATAAACCTTTCTAATCCAATTCTATAAGACTCTGCTGGCAGGACCTACCGGAGCGGCTCCGTCATCGAGCTGTTCAACTGGCTGCGGAAGCTTGTTTCTGGGATGCCCCAAGTTCCGAAACCCCCCAAAAGTACATAGAATTACATTTTTGTTGGCTACTTTTATGGGCTTTAGGCCATTAATTTGAAGGGGAAGGGGTTTCCATCAACTAGCATCTTCGGGTCTAGGGCTTGCTTAGAGAGGGAGTAATTCCTGTTATAGTTAGGGTTTAGGGTTTCGGGTTTGTTCAGGAAGTGAAGATATGGTCCATTCCCCCTCCTTTCTGAGCAGCAGGAGTTTCAAGTTTCTGCCCGCCTTCTTACAAAACTGGGTTGCTGTGAGGGGATTTAAATCAAGCTACCATAATGTGGGTATATAGTGCATAAGAAACTTGTTATCGCAGCTTCATTCAGTTCCTCAACAGCAACCCAGAAAAATCTAGGCCGGGCGGACCAATCATGGACCAATCATCGATTTTTCCAGCAGCTCAAAACTCATCACTGTAGTTCCCATTTTCTTTTCCATTATCCCAGTAAAACCCCAATATATACCCCAATATATACCCCAATATAACTTGGGAAAGCCCAGGCTTGGTCCAGTTGATGATTACTGGCTTTGTGCATGCAGATCCCCACGAGGGGAACCTGAAGTACATGGACGATGGGCGGATTTGCTTCTTAGATTTCGGCTTGATGGACAGGGTTTCTCCCAAAGTTATGGTGGCTTGGCTGGGCCTTAAGACTTCTTTTCTAGGACCAGATGTCTAGACTTGTTTGCAGGTTGTGTTCTTCTCCCAAAAAACACCAAAACCCTTTACTGCAAGCCCTAAAACAGAGTTCCGCATAGCCTCAACATTGTATCTATAGGTCGTTTAAAAAGTTTAAACACAAAAGCCTGCCATAACCCAGGAGGGCTTTGCAGAAGGAATCCGGAGCGTTGTTGCACGGAACTGGACGCAGCTGGCACTCGCAATGCAAATTGCGGCTCAACCGTTCAGCGAATTCTTCAACTGGAGAACGTGAAAGCTACTATTATAGGGTTATATAGGGATAATAGAAATGAAGCGGAAACTACTACAGGGTTTAGGGCTTGCTATTTCAAAGTAACAGCTTTGCCTGGTATTCGAGCAACTAAGGTGGAGTTTGTGCCCAATCCAGCTTGAGCCTCAGGTACGGAGCCCTCAGCATTGCCTGTGCTTGATCAGGGGTCTACTTTAGGAGGAACCCCCACCCTGTAATGGCCGTATACTAGGAATGTAGGAAAACATTTTAAGTACTATATCTCCCCCAGTGTGGCTTAAGTTAATTCAGGTTCCTTCACTGCACGCCAGGTCATTCTTAGGCACCGCACCCTGCTAAATAAGATCACCCTTGGCTAATGGAAACATGGCATGAGCTCTAGTCAAATGTCCTAGTACAGTGTCCCCCTTAGTAACCCCTACAATACTCCCCTATATAACCCCCTTTAAGGAGGTTAGACTATAGCACGCATGGAGTCGGCAAGGTCAAGAAGAACCTGAGACCGAACAGCACCCGGCCTTTGTGGGTGGAGAGCACCTTCGATGAATTTGTGGCTGCACTTGCTGAAGAGGCAGGTATTCTCACAACTCTACTTCCGTTTTAACCCCCTGAGCCCCTCACAAAGGAGGGGATCTCCTATATAATCCCTATATAATATAGTAGTGTCCATTTTCTTTCCCAGTATCCCCATGTCATCCTACTATAGTAGTTTCCAGCTTCTTTTCCATTATCCCCATAGAACCCCAATCTATATGATTCTGAGGGATCCCCGAGGTTGGAGAGGATAGTGATGCGCAGACTCGCTTCGGCGACATGGCAGCTGCGCTGAAGCGCTTGTCAACTCGATTCCTGATGTTGACCCCGGACTATGTCGTGCTGATGACCCGTACGTTTGTGACTTTGGAAGGAATCGCAGCACAGTACGACCCCGACTTCAACATCTATACTACTGCCTTGCCCATCACCTTGCGCCGCATCGTTTCTCCAAGCACCGCTGCCTCCCGACGGGCCTTCCGCAACAACATCCTGACGCAGAGTGGGGAGCTGAAATGGAATGAGCTGGAAGGGCTTCTAAAGGCCTCAGAGCAGGACCCACCTCCTGAATCTGATACAAAGATGACTCTCCTTGATGCTGGGTTGCTGTTAAGGAACTTAAATTAAGTTACTATGTTGGGGAAACCTTATTATTTATTATATATACTCATTATGGTAACTAAATTTAAGTTCCTTAACAGCAACCCAGGATGAGGAGGATGAGCAGCCTTCCCAAAGTGGTTTCAAGCCTTTGGAGGGGCTACTTGGTTCTAGCGAGGGGCGTAGCCTACGACGCCTTGCCTATGACGTCGACATCAAGGCCCTCTTTGCTTACCTGGCCTCCAGCCAAGGCCCGGGATTGTTATGGAAGGTTATATAGGGGTTTTAAAGCGTTATATAGGGGTTTTATAGGGTTATATAGGGGTTTTATAGGGTTATATTGGGGATATATAGGGGTTTTATAGGGTTATATTGGGCCTATATATGGGTTGTATATAGGGGTTATGTAGGGTTATATAGGGGCTAGCAGGGGTTATATGGGGCTATATAGGGGTATATGGCTGTTATATAGGGATAATGGAAACGAAAACGGAAGCTAAAATGTTGTAATGGGGTATGTAGGGGTTATATTGGGATAGTGGAAAAGAGAATGGAAGCTACCATTTAGGGTTTAGGGTTTTTCTCGGGTTGCTGTTAAGGAACGTAAATGAAGTTATCATAGTATGGGTAGATAGTAAATAAAAGGCTTCGGTCTTGTAGAGTTCCTTAACAGCAGCCCAGCTTACTGGGACCAAGTTGCTCAGTAGAAGTCTTGTTTCTGAAGTCTAGAGATGTAGCAGCTTATGTACCCCCAAAGGCCCCACAAGAATCCAGGAGAGAGACTTTTCATTTGAAGTGGAACACGAAAGATTTCACACGTCCAGCTTTTAAGTGTTGTGGCCAGCGCAACACCCAGCATAAGCCAGAAGATTGACAGCAGAGAAGCCACGGATGCGGGATAAAAGCCAACCAAATCCACGCGGAGGCATCTCAATTCAGAAGGGAGCTGAGAAAGAGAGTAAACCCTAAACTGTGCATCTAAGGTCCTGACCACGAGCCCCTACCAGTTTGGGGTCATAGCAGTTATGGGTGTAGCATGGGCACCGTTTCCCGGATTAATGGCGCACAAAAGGGCCACTGGCTTTGACCCCTCATAGCCCTTTGGAAATACATAGGCTGATGTACCCCAAAATCCCAACGCATTGTTTAGACCACTACAATTTAATCCCTGAACAGCCCTTACGTAATCCTGGCTTCCATGTCATGTCCATGTTCTTCCATTTGATTTTCCATTAATGACCTACACCCCTAAGCCCAAAGCCCCTTACAGCTTCCATTTTGCCATTATTCCTCTCATGTATCCACCCGGAACGCATACTAGCTTCCGTAGTTTCTCCATTATTCACCTTATTTCTCGAAAGAATTAATACTTATTATGGGGACCCCAGAAATGTACCTCTAATTTTGGGAAACCTCCATATACCCCTAATCCCTAAACCCTGAACCTTAAACAGCAGTTTCCATTTTCTTTTCCATTATCCCTTCATTCCCTACATTCCCTATATAACCCCTTATCCGACTTTCAAGGTACCCCTAGCCCTCATTCAGCCAACCCCTCGGGATCGTCCACTGGAGTAAAGGTCCGACCAAAAAAATATATAACACACACACACACAAATAGTAGCTTCCATTTTCTTTTCCATTATTCCGAATCCTTATATACCCCTATGTAACCCTATGTAACCCCTATATAGCCCCCATATAGCCCCCATATAAGCCCAGTATAACCCTACATAGCCCCCATATAACCCTATATAAGCCCAATATAACCCTATATAGCCCCCATATAACCCTATATAACCCCTATATAACCCTATATAAGCTCAATATATCCCTACATTATACCCCTATATAACCCTATGTAACCCAATATCCTTACCAGCCGAGGCCGGTCCCTTCGAAAGCAGGCAGCGGCTTGGTTGGCCTCGCAGTTGGACGTCCGGCGCGCGCTGCGGAGCATCGCGAGGGACCCGCCCGCCGGATCCAGGGAGCTCCTGGGCGTTGTGAACGAATCGTTTAAAGGGTTATATAGGGGTTATATGGGGTTATATAGGGTTATATAGGGTTATATAGGGGTTATGTAGGGTTATATGGGGTTATATAGGTTTATATAGGGTTATATAGGTTTATATAGGGTTATATAGGGGTTATATAGGCTTATATAAGGGTTATATAGGGTTATGTAGGGGTATATGGCTGTTATATAGGGATAATGGAAAAGAAGATGGAAATTACTATTTAGGGTTCAGGGCTTAGGGTTTTTCTCTTAAACAGCAATCAAAATGAAATAGTAATGGAAAAGAGAAAGGGTACTAGTGCAGTAGTGCTGGTATGATAAGTGGCCTTTCCCCGATAATTGTCGGGTTGCACGTTGGAAGACTTGCGTGCTTTCTGCGGGCCGTTTTAACCACCACCTAGCTTGGGTTTAGGCTTTGTGGTTTTGTTCGGACCATTGCGGGGATTCTCGGGGAACTGCTACAAGGATCCATTCCCCATTCTCAGCATTTGGGGTAATAAAAATTGTTTTGGCTCAGTTTGGGGTGTGGGGATCAGGGCTGAAGAGAGGCATGCGTTGTGAGATCAGGGTCTGGAGTTTGGGAATAAGGAAAGAGAGCTTGGCTGTCCGGGAGCAACGCAGAAACGGAAATGTTTGGGCAACTGTTAAGGAAGTGTTTATTTCTATCATGCGGAAGCCCCATTATTTATTATATATCCACAACTTAGTAACTTAAATTAAGTTCCTTAACAGCAACCCAGATGATTAGAGATACTGTGCTCGCTAGAGTTGGTCAAATTGCCCTTGTGATTTGAGATACAGTGCCCAGAAGGAATACTCTAATCATTGAAGCCCGTGCAGTCCCATTCTGCATGCGCGAGAACTTTGAAGTCGCTGGAAGCCTCCTGGAATAATGAAGCCTCTCAATAAACCCTCCAAATGAAGATTCTTCTGGGGTGCATACAGTACATGCCCGGCTGTTTGCATTCAGGAGCGCTGCAACCCCCATGCCTTTCAGAGAAACGCGCGACAGTCAAAATAGAAGCAACCTAAAAGGGAAGACGTGTAGACCCCATCGCAACGATCCAGTCATGAGTTCCCCTACCAGCCCCAACTGTTGGCGGCTATTAAGGGCTATTTCAGGATAAGTCAGTGGGGCCAAGGGTAGCTCATGACCAGGTTTGAGAAGCTCCAGAAGCAGCGTGCGCAGCGCGAGCGACGAGCTCTGCGCTTCTGGGTTCAACCTTTCTGCATGCTGGTACGTAGGGACTAGAGAAGGACCATTTCTGACGGTGTTGGATTCAGGGTAAACGGCTTGAAGGGATTTAGATTTAGGGAGCCAGGCACTCAGGGACCCAGGATATAGGGTCTAAGGACAGAAGGAAAGAAGATACTGTTGCTGATATACAGCTACCAGCTATTCTTCTGGCTGCTGCAAACTCTTGTTCTTTCATGTCCTGCTGTCTAGCAGGCAGGTTTGAGTGCTTGCATGCTTTCCGCTTTCCCCTCCTGGTGTAACAGGGGCCTGAGGTCCACTTCTGGGTCGAAAGAAGAGTAAGATCTGAACCCAACGGATGAGTTGGAAATCTGATTTTGACATGAAACGCCTAAATCCTAATTCCTGAACTCCCCAACCCTAACGCCTTAAGAACATCGGATTTTGGTAGCCGCAGCCTGCAAAGTAGGGAGGGGGCTTAGTAAGTCTACGCCAAGTCCCCCTGACCCTAAATCCTGACCCTAAAATATATGATATAATCTGATATATACATATATGGTTGTTTCCATTACCTTTTCAATTCCTGACTCAGTCCCCCTGACTCTCCAAGTAACCCTAAAACCCCAAACCCTCAAACCCTAAACCACCCTTCAACCGTAAACCCTAAAACCCTAAACCCCTCAAACCCTAAACCCCTAAAACCCTAAACCCCCAAAACCCTAAACCCCTGAAACCCTAACCCCCTCAAACTCTAAACCCCAAAAACCCTAAACCCCC